ACTTTTTATCAAAGGCTTCTCAGCTCAAAAACTTCTTTCACTAATGTCTTCAAAAAAAGAAGCGGATTGTTTTCTTGGAACTTATTGAGGGCAGCCAACGTTAAGTACGTAAGCAAGGATAAGCAACAGAGAAAGGTTTAAGGTTTGATTGACATATGATTGTATGATTAAAGACAAGAGAAGTTCAGGTTCAAAGAGAAACAATTTTCTATCTCATTTTAAAGCATGCGGGGTGTGCAAATCCAAGAAACAGTCATTGTGTGGTTGCAGAACATTCTATAGTTATAAAAATTGATGGTGTTTAGATCTGTGCCAGCACTTGATTATTCAGTAGGAATCAAAAGAGACATGGACATAAAAGAACCTAAAAGACTTAGAGGGGACAATAAACATAACTACATATGGCAGGTTAAGGTTTATTTAAAGGATTCTTGCTCAATAACTCATTTTACATTCATGCTTTTAATTTGAAGGCTTTGGAGAGTAAAAACTTGTCAAACTCTGTTAGGAATATTTAGGCATCCCTTTATTATTTAAGGTCAAACTTGTCTCTATGTGTGATATGGGATGTCTTTGAGAAGATATATTAATTCCATCATTTTTCATACTTTTTTTCTTTTGTCCAGCATTAGGATCAAGTCTATGAGTGACCGCTTTGACGACATAACATTAATATGTAATTATTATTGTAAAGATGTTTTTGCTGTTAAAAATTACAAAATGTCCCTTCAATAGATAAAAAGCAAAAAATAGTTTGAAAGAAAATCAAAAGAAAATCTTTTATTGAGGTAGAAACTAGGGCTGCAACTAAAGATTATTTTGCAAATCGATTAATCTGTCAATTATTTTTTACACTAATCGATTAATAATCGGATAGCCGAATATTTTTTAAAGAAGAATTTTTATTAAATTAAAGCAGGGGAAACTAAAACTTTTCCACTTTAGTAATTCTGGATGGAGAATATTGACAGAAGAAAAAGTTTTTTTATCATAAATGCAATTTTTTTTTTTACAATTTTGGTATAATTGCTCCCCTAAGTGAGTTTCTCTTTCAGCTAAATGCATGTTTTAGAGCCTCTATACTCCAGTTAACAATTATTGGATTACTAAATTAGTTGATTGGTTAATTCAATAATAGATTAAATATGATTAATCCGATTTATTTTTTCAGCCCTCGTGGAAACCTGATGAATTGCAATGCAAACTAAAAAAGAAAACACTTCACAAAATTAGGTATTTTTGGGTATTTCTCCTTGAAAATGAAATATTTAAAGAATTGTTCTGATAGTTGCCTCACTGTGGACTTGCCCCGCCGTGCAGAAGAAATAAAGAAAAAACATGGGGGAATTGTGCCTCTTTTTTTTCAAGCTGAAATTAGATGGAAATCCTGCCCATTATCATTTTGATGAAACGGAACAGTGCATGAAAGTGTGAATATGACACTGAAGTATGATTCTGACAATGATAATATCCAGTTGACAGCAATACTAATGAATTATAGAATATCAAAGTCAGAATTTCTGAGTTCTGAGACTGAAAAAGTTAATTTAGAAAACAAAAAAATTTGTTCAGATTAAGTAAAGAGGCTTTGTTTATGACATTAATGATAAATTGAAAAATTATTGTCTATTTATTCTTACAGATAAGTTCAACCCACATCAAATAATTATTTCTACATTTAGTTTGAAATTGTTACAAAATCTGCACATGCATTTAATTGTGAAGAAAGGGAACTACATTTAAAAACTGAAATAATAAAATTATGAAAAGTTCCCAAATAGTTATACTCCTCTTGGGTGCCTGATTGAGGAGGGTGTGGCAGCCTGGGGTGCCCAGTGAAGCATTTACCTGCTTTGTGTTTACTTTGGCTGTCTGCAGACTGACTGACGAGCCCTAAATCACTGTTTGACTACTGCAAATCATTCAGAGTAATGCATGCCTTCACATCGGAGTAAATGAAAGCAATAAACCATGAAGAAATTGTGCATTTGAATTAAGGCACCCTTGACTGTGCAGCTCCGAGGGGGAGCATGCTTGTCTGTATGTCTATTGTGGGTGGTCTGAGTGAAACTGACACATGCTAGGATCACAATTTCCATTTTTCTGGTATTTATGAGTCTAAATCTGGTTATTTTCCCAGCTTCCCGCCTCCAGCCTATATAAATACTTTAGGATTATACAAAACACAGTAAAAGCAGTGCAGAGGATGATTCCCTAAATCATATTTGAATGCCCTCACCATATGGGGTTCTTGCCCTGGCTGGCACTGAGGACAGGCCTGGCAGCTGTTGCTGGTCTGGTTGAAAAACTCGTACTCTCCACAGTTGAAGTACTCGGCACTAACAAACAGATGAGACACCTGAGGGGACACAGAGACAGGCAGGTGGAGAACACGGTAAGCAGAGACAAATGTAAAGCTGAAAAACAGCTTGTGGAAACACAATTAGGACATTCCTATTAATGCAATTATACCAGAACAAAATCAAAGACAGACAAGCGTCACCTAAGGGGGAATGAAGAGGTAAATTGGTTAGAGTAGCACTCCTTTGACATTTTTATTACTCAAGTAAAACTAGAAAGAAATCCTCCAAGAAAATAGTCATGTAAGAGTAAAAAAGCACTTATTTACTTACTTATTTAAAATAAAGTAATCAGATAATTATTTCTGCAAATTCTGATATTTCAAAGTAATGAAATAAACCCAAACATTAGAAATAAATAATATGATTACAAAATAACAAATTCAGGCAAAGAAAAAACTTTTTTTCAGCATAAACTTATTAAACCAGTCCTAGCAGTATGTCAGGAAGAAAATAAAGATAAAGAATCTCCAGCTTCATGCAATATCTACTGTTTTCACAGTATTTTCACCTAATCTCCAAGTAGATCAAGTTACTCATAGTGGATACTATGATTACTCATAGAGTACTCAGAAAACGCACTCAGTATGAGTAGCAATATTCTCATAAGGATATTACTCAAGTAAAAGTAAAAGGTATAGTACAGGGCAGCTACTCTAAAAAGTATACCTCTAAAATGTACTCAAATTAATGTAACTGAGTAAATATAAGTAGTTACTACACACCTTTGGAACGGTAAAAAAATACTAAACAGGAAGACTGCATTTAACAGTATTTGATCAAACCACTTAGAACGTGTTATTTTATCAACTAAATTTGACGTTTTTGTATCATAATTGTGATGAAATGGACTGCAATAAAAGGAGCTTGAATCTACCTGTGGTACATAAATGGACAGTGTTATTATGAATACAATAGGTTTGATTTAATAATGCTATGTAACTCTATATAGTCTTGACTATTTAGTTGTATTTTTGTTTTTTTACTATTGCTTCAGATCCTTTTATTGGTGCTGCAAGAAAAAAGTCAACAAAATACAATGGAATATACATTTGTCCTCATTAGACAAATGTATATTTTGAAAAACAAATAAAAAGAAATATGTTAATACATCTATCTATTGATCGATAGATAGATGAAAATTTCTTGAAATAACTTTACAATCAAAACATATTTCATTTTCTCTTACACACAACTAAGAAGCCTACCGTTTAAACTCTATAACTACATCAAGTGTGAGCATGTTTTTATGTTTATGTTTTATTCTTTTTGTTTTTGTTTCTTGTTTAATAAATGTTAACGAAAGATAAGCCACATAAGTTTTGATCCATAAATTGAACTGATACTGCAAGCCCTTTATTTTCTGGTGGATTTAAAATGACTGTCTCTGTTCGACAAAACAAAAAAATAAAGCACATGTCTTCTCCAGTATTATTCTACCAGAGGGCTCAAATAATACTGGAGGCATCACAGGATTAAACAACATTTTTTTTCCTTTGTACTAATAGAAAAGAAACGTAGAATATTCAGTAGAACTAAGACTCAGAGTGTTAACAAAAAAACATTTAAATGGCAAAGAAAGTAAACTGTATAAAATATTGCTATGTTATATTCTATTAATTTAAAGTTCACCATCTGCTTTGTGAGTTCTACACCAAAAATTGCACAATAAAAGCATGAAGTTGTGTGAACAGAGTCTGTTGGCATGTTTTGCTCCTGTTGTGGGGAAATTGATGTATTCATGCTGTTTTATGATGGGAATGTACCTCACTTTTGGAGGCAAAAAGTCCCCTTAAACAATGATCTTTAATTTTCTTGTAAAGATTGGATAAAAAAGGTGTGGTTTGGGGTTAAGGTTGTGGTAACAATAGGTTCCTGCAAGCTGTGGTATTGGTTAGAGTCGGGATACATTTTCAGAAAATGTAAGTTAATGAAATGTCCCCTGCTGTAATGGAAACGTGACTGAGTGTGTATATGTGTGCTATGTGTGGGATTGTGTCATTGTGGCTCATTGTAATAAGTAGCAGCTGGAATTTATAGCTTTTCCAGAATACTGTGTCCATTTCCAAACAAACTAACTGACTTTTAACAATCATCTGCAGTCCAGAAAATGATAGAGGGAAAATAAATGAGTGTATGACTAAGCCTCTCCATCTCTTCTCTGTTGTTTTAATAACATCCTCCTGTTTTTTTCTGCTTTTCCACACAACCATATCCTGTCAGTGAGCTGAGGACATGTTTGAACAAGTGCTCATTTATGTATAAGATTCCATTCTTCTCTTGCTAAATAACGTAAAATATTATAAATAAAAAACCCAAACAGACTGACCCATGCTATACATATCTGAAATGAAGTTGGTGTGATACAGATTCATGAAGAATGACAACAGAGTTAGAGTGATTTTGGTGGCATCTAGTGGTGAAGCTGCAGATTTCTACTGAATGATTTTACAACAATTTATTAAAGCCAAAATGCAATAGATACTACGCGTAAAAGAGATTATATGGGAAATAATAAATGTTGTTAAATTAAACAACAAATAATTTATTTTGTAACGATGCACCGAAGTGATTCTTTTTTTCTTTTTTAAATAAAAATGGCTTGTGTCACTCATGAACGTCACGATAAAACCATTATATTTAGGTGGTATGTAATAAAAAATAGTGATATGATTCACATAAGAGCAAGTGGGCTTTACTGTTTGCTCTGAAATTAGTTCAAATTTGAATTTGATCTTAACACAGCTGTGGTGGCCATCTACTACTTAACCAGAGAACAAACAAAGGAGTCAGGAAAGCTGTATGCCATCATACGTTTTTCTCCTTAACCCACAGACAGTCTGGATATTGTGATGCCAGTAAAAAAAAAAATGAGGCTGATTTTGTGTCTTGTGGAAAGTTTCTGTTTGAATCTGATTCTGTAGGATTTAAATTAATATTCTGATGAAAGAGCCGGTAATACTCCAACTATAATTTTGGCCTTTGGATTTTTTTAGTAAAACTGATGTAGTATTTTGAAATTGTTATTATGAATGTCGAGCATTATAAAAAATGTTCCCAAAGCCTTAAGCAGAGAGAAAAAGCCCACAACGTCACAGAGGCTCCAACTTATCTAAAAGTTGCCATAACTCTCTTCTTCCACATATTTTTATACTTTGTGTTACCAGAATGATCTTAAGTGTCGATTATGATGGCTGCGCCCGCACCTGCATATTTGTACCACATATATTAATGCTGTGAACTTCCATATCAATTTGGTTTTTTTGCACCATGTTTTTTTTTTCTCCCAGTTTACATTTGATCACTGCTGCACTTTGTAGAATGGAAATGTTAATTTACTGTCTGAAAGCTGTACTAAACTAAATTAAATTTTTTTATACAGTCTCTGTATACAAAATGACAATAAAAGGTGTCTAAGTCTAAAGTGGTTTTTGCTGAGAGCCAATCTTAGTCTCATCAGGCCATAGGATGCATTTCTATTTAAAGGACGTGTAAAGTAAAAATAAATGGGTTCTCAGTTTATCACACCATAGATATGTATTATTAGTCATCGATCAGTTTGAATGTTAAAAAAATTAAAATTAAAACTCTGCATATAAATTAGGTCTCGAAAATTAATGAAAAAGCATACATTTTCTCTGCATTGAGGGCATCAGTGGAAGCTTTGCCCATGTGTGACTCATGTTCATTGGGGAAATAGAGGAGAGTCTCTCTGCTCTCTGACTGCAGCTACAGGCTGCAGCTGCTGCATCTGAGTCCCTGTCAGTGTTTTGGAGGAGGAATGGCCTGGCTCAATAACTATTCTCTGAAGAATGAGTGATTGTTGACAACACATAAAGCACCAAAGTCAGCAACAAGATGGGAAAAAGCTACTAGACTTTCCGCTAGTCACTTTTTTGAATTTGTTTTTTTTTAAACTGGCTGAAGGAGTCGGAAAAGGCCCTGAATTAGCAATAATGCAGAGGCAGCCTCGCTTAGATTTTATACTGCTGGACCAGCAGAGGGGGTGGGCTTATGCTGAAGGCAGCAGCATGACGAAATTAAACTGCACCCAAACAATCCTGAAACACAGGAAAGTACATGCCATTGAAAT